CATTTTCAGGAAACCACAGAAAAATTAGAACCCCACTACAGATACTAATGACATAGATGCTAATGGCACATTACCTGCAAAAAAGTAAGTTATGAGTTACATAAAGAGAAATAAGACTCAAGATAATAGAATTCCTAAATCAACCATGAAAAGTCATGAGTCAACTCCTGAACCGAACACTCATAATAATACAGGTAATGAAATTTTTGACTCGGTGATTAATATTGATACTAACGTTGAACTTCCTATTGCTTTGAGAAAAGGTATATGGTCTTACACCATACATCCCATACAAGATTATGTGTCATATGATAAGTTGTCTTCAACATACAATGCACTTGTTAGTAAGCTCAATAACAACATTGTCCCAAGAACTGTTCATGAGGCACTTGAGTTCGCAGAATGGAAAGCTGCAATCCAAGAAAAGATCATAGCGGTTGAAAAGAATGAGACATGGGAACTATCTGATCTACCTTTAGGAAAAAATCCTGTAGGGTGCAAACGGATCTTCACCATAAACAAGAACTGTTCATGAGGCACTTGAGTTCGCAAAATGAAAAGCTGCAATCCAAGAAAAGATCATAGCGGTTGAAAAGAATGAGACATGGGAACTATCTGATCTACCTTTAGGAAAAAATCCTATAGAGTGCAAATGGATCTTCACCATAAAGTATAATCCTGATGGAACTGTGAGCTGTCATAAAGCTTGCCTTGTTGACAAAGGCTTCACTCAGTCATATGGGATTGACTATCAGGAAACTTTTGCCCCAGTTGCTAAACATAACACAATACGGTTCTATTCTCCTTGATCTCAAACCTTGATTGGTCTCTTCATCAACTGGATGTAAAGAATGCTTTCCTCAATGGAGATCTAGAAGAAGAAGTTTACATAGAAGTCCCTCCTGGACTTAGCATCGGGTCTAAGAAGGTATGTCAATTAAAAAAGACTCTTTATGGTCTTAAGCAGTCTTTGAGGGCATGGTTTGAGAGATTTTCAAGGGTAGTGAAACAGATGAGATATCTTCAGTGTCAGTCTGATCACACACTTTTTACCAAAAGCAATGCCACGAGGAAGAAATCTATCTTACTTGTATATGTTGATGACATTATCTTAACATGTGATAATGATGAAGAAATTTTGTAACTCAAAAAGCTTCTAGCCAAAGAATTCAAGATCAAAGACTTTGGGTTACTTCGATACTTTTTTGGGATGGAAGTAGCTTGATATAAGAAAGGTATCTTTGTTTCACAATGCAAATATATCTTAGATCTTTTAAAGAAAACAGGTATACTTGGTTATAAATTTGTAGGAACACCAATGGAGTTCAATGTCAAAATCGGTTTAAAAAATGATAATAAATCTGTTGATAAAGAGAGAAATCAGAGACTTATTGATAAACTTATCTATCTTGCTCATACCAGACCTGATATTAGTTTTGCTGTGAGCACTGTAAGTCAGTTTATGGCTGAACCAACTAAAGAATATATGAGTGCCGTTTACCGGATTTTGAAGTACTTAAAGAAGACCCTTGGTCAGGGTTCTTTCAAAAAACAATAAACAGAGACATTTGAGATCTTCACTAATGTTGATTGGGCAGGATCAATGACTGATAGAAGATCAACAATTGGTTACTGTACGTATGTGTGGGACAATCTAGTCATTTGGCGAAGTAAGAAACAGTCAATTATATTTAGAAGTAATGCTGAAGCTGAATTAAGATCTCTTACTTATGGAATATGTGAAGGTGTATGGCTGAAGAGGATTATATCTGAACTAATCTTTTATATTCCTAATCCTATGAAACTCTGGTGTGACAATCAACCAACTATCAGTATGGTCAAAGATTCAGTACATCATGATAGAACCAAGTATGTGGAGATTGATTATCATTTCATTAAAGAAAAGATAGAAGACAAGAACATTACCTTACAGTATATTTCTACTGATCTTTAGATTGCTGATATCTTTACAAAGGCACTACCAACAGGAAAATTCAATAACATTGTATCTAATATAGAATTACTCAATATATATGTAACCTAGATTGAGGGGGAATGTAGAAAATGTTAGAATAAGAGTAGTTTATTATTTACTCTTTCTGAACAAGTGGAATGTCCACCATCACCACTAGAAATTGGTTACGTTTGTTGCTTATTTTTTCTTTTTTTTATTTTTCTCTCATACCCTCACCTTTGGTGTGACATCAAGGCAAGGAGTGCCTATAAATGACACCTCACTCTCTCTGTTTTAAGCAAGTAAGAAAGAAGAGAAGAACCTCTCATTTTATCTCTCTCAAACTCTACTTCCATTAAAATCTTCACTTTTTATCATCAATGTCGTCAAAATTTTTATTTATTTTTACTAGTGTAGTCAAAATTATTGAAAATTTAACATTGTGTTTAGATTGAGGGAAATGGAGGAAAAGAGAATAGAAGGAGAGTTAACCTTCCTTACACTTATTTAGATGAAAAATAATAGTTAGTAAAAGAAATAGAGGGATAGTAAGCATTTCTTTTGAATTCTTCCAAATTGGGCGAAACAGATGAGAAGGATAAAAGAGAAAGTTTTTCTTTAGTATCAAACTTATCATTCTATGAATGAATTATCAGCTAATTTCTTATAATTAATCATTTTCTTTCCCTTATAAATGTAAAGTAAATTGAATATTACAACACTCTAGAACGATCCTCTTTTAGGCAGGTTAAGGGAACAAACAATTGATGTACTTGGGAAATGACTTTGCAGAGACTCCTGTGAGAAATGGACCGTCCTACTCTGTGCCACAGAGAGTTCGATTCCCATTGGAAGCATGAAAATCATTTAGCCAAGAAAAATGTTTTTTTATCTAGGATTCCTGATATCCAAACCCCCTTAACATTTGGACTGGCAAACCAGTGGATCTAAATGCTTCCCTTTCTTTGTTGCTGTACGGTAAATATTGGTGTTTCTTTGATCAAGAGAAGGAACATATCATTCAATTTACTTTCTCATATTGATATGAATGAGCTCTCAGTCCCACTTTGAGAGTACAATATAACAGTTCTTAAATTTCGAGTTTCTCTTGGATGGCATAAGAAACTTTAGGTAAGAAGCAAGTAGAAAAACCTGTTATATGGGTTCTTCCAAATTTTTAATGAATAGTATGAAAGCCCTAGGACTTGAAAGGTATAATCAGCATCATCTCCTTCCCCTGCACCCTACAGAAAAGGAGAGAAAACACATTGCATAGGTTTTTTCTTAAATAAGTATACTACTAGTAGCCTTATTCTGTTATGAGCTACTGAAGGGATGGTTGAATGATTTCTCTTGCTCTAGGATTTTTTCTTTCTCTGGTATGTTTTAGCATCTTAAATTTTTTCTTTGTATATGGGGTAAACTGCTTTTATTTATCAGTTCACGGAGGCTTGAGGTGAGCAGAGTGGAATTACTTCTCCAAGTTGGGACATTTTGTGTGGCAGTTGGTGCTCTAGTTGCAGGTTTGCTTTTCCTGTCAAAGAAAGAAACAATGTCAAGTGTCTATTTGTTTCTTGCTATTAAGTGTTACATGATGCCAATTGCCAAATCAAGTGCATTATGCTGCCTCGAGAACCTCAAAGTGGGATGCTACAGCCAGGGGCCTTCGACTTATTTTGACACAATTTTCCTCATTGCAGGTATATTCGGCATGAACTTGAAGTCCTATCTGGAAGAACATGTGGTATGCTGTCTATGTATTTCTCTGACACTTTCACTTCAGTTGCTTACTTATTCTTATTTTCTTTTATCTCTCAACAATGTTACTCATGTTATGATTGATTTGATGCAGTTTGCATTTTGGCTAACGACAGCTGGGATAATTGTTGGGGCCGTCGTGGGCTTTTTTCTCATGTATTGGTATCTCAAGAAGAGGAAAGTGTTGTGACTTAGAAGAAAGCCTAAAGTTTAGGTAAAACTGTCGAATAACAAATAGCAGTAGTAATATTCTCATGCAATTAGCTTTGTAGATGTTTTTTTCTGATGAAACTTGAACCCATGGTAAGAAATGGTAGGTCCATTGTTTTCAGCTACAATAGGCCTAGGTCAAAGATATAAAATTCTTAGGATGAATTTTCTCTTAGGTATTTACACAAGTAGGTGCACCTCTGGGCGGCACATAAGTAAGGAAAGAATTTGAAAAAATTCTAAACTTGTATATTGTATGATAACTTACATTCCAAACATACAATTAAAACTATCTTCTATCAAAAGGAAGTTACTACAGATAGATGTCTATAGATTCAACATTTATGTTGATTAAAAACTGTTAGTTTAAGAGCCTTGAGCCAGACTGAGGGGAAGTGCCCATGAGGGTCCAACTAGCAAAACATCTAGAACAGAGGCACGTGGCAAGGCGATGCGTTCATTAAATGCATCACGCGAAGCATTTAGTTTTGGAGGAACAAAAGAATACTTCATTCATTCACAACTAGTAAAACATCTAATCTGAGGATTGGAGCTAAACCAGTTGGTAATTCATGAGAATACATGTTATCATCAGGTACTTTGTGACCCTCCCTAACCAAGGTGTTGGCAACCTGATTACAAGATCTAAGAATCTAAATCAGATAAATAGAAATGAAATGGGAAATCAAATATAGAATCCCTTCAAGCAAAGTATCATACGCAATGTTATCAACAGAATTAGAAAGTAAAGAGGAGATCGTCCCTTTTGCATTTAACTTCAGCAATATGTGGTGTATTGCTCTATGCACAATTTCCAAATTAAAGATCATCGTCAATGATTCAGCCATGTCCACCGAACTCGTATGTGAGATTTGGTGCATGCCAGCAAAAATAACAAGTGTATTCCAACCTCTTCATATAATCACTAGGCCTATTGATCCATCACGCAGATTTGAAGCTTCTGTATTTATTTTGTACATACCTTGTGGTGAAGCAGATCAAACTGGTGGCACTTCTTGTTGTCCATCTTGACCAACGGTATTCCCCACCCTCATCTATTGTGTTTTCTTCAAGCTCTCCAACTCATAAAAACAACTATGGAGTTGGGACACAAGGTGATGAGGTTCCATCCATTTATTTTCAAATACCCATTTATTTCTTGCTAACCTAATCCCCATAAAATAAGTATGAACCATTTACTTTGTACTACACCTATCAAGCCATTTGGAAGTCATTTAGGGAAATTCATTGTTATGTGATTGAAGTTATGTATTGGACAACACCGCTACACAAGATCAGCATATGTACAACTTCTAAAGATATGATTAATGGTCTCTGTCGCTTTTCCAGATATAGGGCATATAGGATCAACCTGGACACCTTTTGTAAGTAAACGACACTTTATAGGCAGAATGTCATGGCACACACAAAATCATGTCTTTTACATGTTGATAAACCTTTGCTGCCCATATTTTTCTCCACAGATCACTCCGGTTATCGTAGGAAGTACTGGTTAATTTCCCATACTTTTCATGGCAAGCTTGATGATAGCTACTCTTCACTGTATATTGCCTATCTTTCATGTGACTTTAGATAAGCTTATCTTGCGGCAGTTACCTACTCCAGTGGAACGCTAAGAATGTTTCGGCTTCAACAAGATGCAGTAGGCTATTTAGGAGAGGAACATTCCAAGTGGGACCCTCCATCTGGATCACATCTGCCACCATAATAGGATAAGAAATAAGGTCAGGAGGAGTATGTAATCAATTACCTGTTTGAGCCGGCACCCACTCGTCTTTCCAGAATTTGACACTGCTGCCATTATCAATTATCCTCCTTAAACCATCTTCTAGTAATTCCTGACCTGCTAGTATACTTCCACCAAGTGTAGTTAGGTCACTACCTAATCTTGTTTCCTAAAGTCACAATTTCCAAAATATCTTGCCTTTCAACATTTTAAAAACAAGAGTATTGAGATTTTGAAGTAGTCACCAAGCTTGTTTAACTAGCATTGCACAATTAAAACATTGAAAATCTTTAAATCCTAATCTACCATCACCTTTTGGCATGCTGAGATGGGACCAAGTTTTCCAGTGTACATGTCTCTCCTCCTTCTGTCTAACTAGAAATTTGAAACAATCTTTTTCATCTGTCTACATGCTGAAATTGGAATTAAAAATGGTCATGATAGTATTGCTTGAACCACGCGTTAAGGATCACTTCCTTTCCTACGTGGGATAAATGCTCATGAAATGTGAAGCAGATTTCACACACGCCAACTGTTGAAGTAGTTCAAGTGCATGCGGTGGGTTGCCCAACTGCACTAGGTGTGCATGGGGCCTATGCAGTGCCTTCCTCAGTTGGTTCTTGGTTCATTTTTTACTGTTTGGTCCAGAATTTTATTCTTAATTTTTTCTGGATATGAAAGTTAATTTTTTCATATTTTGAAATATATTATCCTAAATTTTTTAGCAAAATGATTAGAAATCCAGCAAAACTTTTAAGCATATGGAAAATTTTTGAAAATTTTTGAGTAAATTAAATCTTAAACTCAAGGCAAAGTTGAGGAATAGTGCATATTTGTTGAATTACAGAGATTGTTTTGTGAATTTGTAAAGATAAATTACCTTTGATTCGATATTTAAATACAATAATCCTTAAAAAATTCCTTAGAAGTTATGAAACACTTAAAAAGAATTATGATTAAACTTTTGGGATTTAATAAGAATGATTTATATTAGCCTGTGAACTTCTTTGTTTTGTGACGAGCTTTGCGGTTGAGTAGTAACATTGTTACTGTATATAGTAAACAGAACAGCTGAGGTATCTGATTTTAACTATTTCTGTACCAATGCAGGATCATGGCATGCCTAAAGAAGTAACCATGGTGGTTGATATTGCTAGAAGATGTTAGTTAGTCAATTAAAGACGCACTAGATGCATGATGAAATTTGGCATATGACATAAAACGTTTAGAAATGCAAGTGAATGAGACAAGGAACATCAATTTCTGGTTATTGAAGAAAAGCAGCTTCATATGACATACTTCATGAATGCGAGGACATAAATCTGCATGTCACCGCACAGGAATGGAAGGACATCTTACAAGCATCATGGTATTCTCTCTTTGAGATCACTAACGGTATCACTGTGCCTGCCATATTATTTGAGCGGTCGCGATCAGTATTATTGAAGGTTGTATCAGTAATTATAGACAATGAGATTAAGTATATGGCAAAAAGAACACTTCAAATACACTTGCTAGTTTCGGAAACATTGTGGAGAATATGAATATAATACATGCTGGTAAGAGTGACAATGAGTTGACAATAATGAGCATTACAGTGATTAATTTCTATAGAGGTCTGTACGCTTTACAACTTTTGGAATAAGTTTGAATGTATGAATTTTGTTTTAAAATTTATTTATGGCTTATGATATGTTATTTTATTATTTTATCTTGTTTATGTACTTTTGATACTGTGAATTTATTAAAATAGTGGGAGTTTTAAGAAAAAAAAAATGATTAGAAATAAGATAAATTTAGAATGATAGTTTTATTAAAAGAACAATATATTTGATATAAGAACATAGGAGATAATTAGAAATTTAGTGAACTTTAGATTCTCTTAATAATTATAAAATTTAGTTTTGTTTTGATTAGTAGAATTTTGAATAGTATGTTGTGTCTGGGGGTTTAATATAGACCATCACATTGAAGAAAAGAATAACTTATTGGGCAAAGATTGTAAGTTGAATGGTGATAATTATAAGATTTGACACCTTATTCAATGAAGAACAAGGGATATTGAAGGCAGTAAATTATTCCTTGGTGGTTGAATTTGAACATGAAAAACTGCTCAACATAAAAGGGGATGCTAAAGCTTACATTGGAAAATGAAAATACCATGATACATGGTATTCTAATAAGTCTAATGGCAATTGTCTTTGTTTCAATACTTGGTACATGGTACTTTGATAAGTTTAATAGTAATTAATTTTATTCTAATATTAAGATTATAAAGATATTCTTAACAAATGAATATTCGAATAAAATTTGGGATGTACCAAACTAAGAAGGTCAAGAAATTGACCAAAAAATGTGACACATAAGAAATACTCAAATCATGCAATTGAGCAACATAAGACATAGCCAACCTGGGTAAGAAGTTAAGTGAGTTAGGAATGCTCTTAGTGATGAGTAATAAATTCAAGCATGATGCTTTTTAATTGGGAACATATGATTGTCAATCTGATTGAAATAATAGTACCAAGACATTTGATGGCATGGCTTATTATGTTGAGCTAAAAGATGAGTGTTTAGGTCTTTGAAACCTCCTTAACAAGCATATGTTGTTGAATCTAGTTCTAATGGAAAAATTAGTTTCTAGACTTAAAAAGAATCTGTTAAAGAATGGTAAAAGCAAGTGGTTTAAAATCTCCATTCAAAAGAAGGAGACCATTTTAAGGGGTTCAAAGAGTATGAGAAAAAAAAGGTAAGTAAAA